CCACTTTAAGATGAGATAGATTCCTGAAATTGAGTCTAAAACTTTCACAAAGCAGGTGATTTAGTTCTGGTTAAACAACTATCATTAATGATTAGTTGTGTCTGCAGCAATAGCCGTAAATGCAAGTTCACCTACTGTACTGTTTGTAAAAACTAATCAGTAAGTATGTGGATGAAAAGGCATGATTTTCAACTTTAGGCTGTTTTTGTGTGAAGCAGTGTTAAATTCCTGGAAAACAAACTATTGACACTGTTTTAGGACATAGCATGTGTGACTACCAATCCATTTATTGGAAAGAAGTCCTAATTAAGCTCACTGAGTCTTGTTGTAATACTACCCTACCAGCATGCCACCTTAATTTTCCTCATTTTAAATGGTCTTGCAATTCTTTCAGATAGACCCCCTGTAGGCTCCTAGATTTTACTACTCTTTCAGGGAAGTCTGCACATTCTTGTATTGTTGCTCTTCACTCAGAGTTTGACTTGCTAGGATCTTCCTTAACTCGGAAACTTTACTAATCACTGTTCAAATATTTAGCTAGGCACTACCTTGTCACCCAATCACAATACTCACTTCATGAACCACTGTTCACTCAACTAGCTCTGTTCTTTCAATTCTTTACTCCTAGTCTGCCCCAATGCCCCTGCTGCATGGTCTTCATGAAGAAAAAACACATTCCTTCTCTCAATTCCAGTGATATCCACTGATCCTTTTGGCCAGGGACACCTCTGTCCTGACTTGTGCTCCAACACAGCAGCAATTTGTTTTCTCCAGTGCCACACACCCTTCCCAGCCAATACAGAATAAGCTAAATTTTCCTCAACCTCCTTGCTCACCAGATCCCTCCATCCAGCTGTTACTAAAAACACTTTCTGGCACACTTGGTCTACTTCCTTTTATGCTAGGGCTTACACACAAACTGAAACCCTTTTCCACCTGGCTCTTACAATGTAGCTTCCTATTAGCCAAGGGGAGTGGCTGGTTACACACGGAGCCTATCCTTTTTGCTGCTCTTCCTCATTTAGAATCTCACTCCCTCTTGAACCCAATTATTCAACTAGCCCAGGTCTGTCCCATTTTACAATGCTTCTATCCTTAATAGGTAGATTTCTCACAAAGCAACCTCTCCATGTCTCATATAATATCTTTATTTGAGATGCTTTTATTAGGCAGACATAAAAACGAAACTGCTTGTGGCTGACTAGCAAGTCTTAAACCTTTTAAAGTGTTTTAGGGTACAGAAACTAGAAGCATATTATATTTTCTAACTACAAATATTCCAATAATTTAAAATGTTAGATACTGTTGTTAAACATTTTAAGAACCTCCATGATAACTTTATACACCGCTTTAAAAGATCCTAAGGTAAAAAATCTAAATATTTAATATTTAAGTTTTTAAAGTTCACTTATAAATGTTCTAGAAATATACATTTCCTGGGGAAATTTAAAGTGTACTAAAATATTTTTCTAACATGTATCCTCTCAATTTGAAGTAACCATTTGTAATCCATCTCATCCTGACTATTGTAAACTCAGACATGCTCAGAGTTGGGTCCATTGCCATCTGATGCCCTGCCTTATAGAAAAGGTAACATTGATGGGCAAACTAATGCCTCATTGATGACACTGCAGGTTATTACACACTGCCTAATCATGACCACCTGATCTGGTGCTGCTTGGTCAATAGTACAGCATCATTGGGAATTCCAGTTGCAGATGATTAATGACATAGTCAAGGTTGCAAATGACAATGTTTGAACAATTAAAAAAAACAACCCGATCCCTCAAGCAAGCAGCTTTGCTGGCTGAGCCGAATGGAACTGCATGGAGAAACAATATTCCCTAGTTTCTCTAACCAAGAAGAATATAAGTGGGGATGTAAAATGTCAGTTCTACCATCCTCTGAACACATGCCTTTTTATGAAGCATTGTAAATAGCTCAGAAATGTCTAACTTATGTATAAGACCTTTGAAGCCTGATGTTGTTCAAAGTCAATCCAGACAAAGCCCTGGCTACTAAGAATAACTCATGGGGTTACTCCATAAAGGTAGAAAGCACACGAAAAACGCAGACAGTCTGCACATGACCATGGCAAGACTTTGTATTGGTTGGCATCCGGGGCAGCTTTAATTAAAGTGCATTGTACAGCTGGCTCACACTCTCCCATCATGCAGGCCCTGAAACAAAGCTCTCAGTGTGTGCATTCCTTCAGTGGGCCTGTTCACTGTGAGAGCAGGGCTGGGACCAGAGAGGCTCAGAAAATTCCAGAATGTGGCACGGCACTGATGCGTGGCTTGACGTGACAACCTAGAGATGACAAAAATAATCTCTTTTCACGGTGTCATTGAAGTATGCGAGCTCCGCACTATCTTTTACAGCCTAGCTCATTCCTGGGTGGATTATGCCTCATGAGAGGCCTCTAGTCCCTGAAAAGCCCATTACCTGTTGTTCTTTATTCCTTTGTAGCCATTTTTTTTTTATTTTGAATCCTCCCTCAATACACTGTATAATTCTTACAATATTTAGATTTGAAAAAATCCTCCTATATACATTTAGCAGCATAACTGAAATATGTAGTTCATATGATTCAATTAACTTCTTAGGTGATTATCAGCATTGAAACTTTTCTGGATGTTGTGTATTTAATTTAAAGTATATGTTAAACACTGGGTTCCTGTTTGTTTTTTAGTTATGTTTTTAGAGTACTGTAATGAATAATATTAAAAGTATGGCTCTGTTATATAGGAAGTAGATGGAAGTAGATCTTTAATAACCTTCTTGTTTTACTTGTCATATACAAGTTTTTAGTGACCCCCCCAATATAAGTTAAATCTTTCTTAGTCAAAAGGGTTTATATTTAACAAATGTTTTTTCTTTGTGGTTTTCTTTGTGAAAAATAAATTTAAAAAAATTAAATATCAGTATATGTGATAAAATAGGTGAACCACTAGATTACTTAGCATAATTAAGGGGGTAATAAGAGTCAGATGGTTAAATAATTGTGTAACAAGTAAATAAAGACTGAGTTTGGGCAGCCCTGTCCTCTCTAGTGGTAAGATACTATGTGAGTTTGGTCTTCACCATACAAATAAGTGGAATCACAATGAAAAAAAAAAGATTTCAAAGGTTCTCAGAAAAAAAGTCAGTCTGGAGGGAGTTACAAAACAATTTATAAACATGTGGGACTTCACTCAATTATAGTTATTATGGAAAATATTCAAGAGTTTACCTAGGAATAGTTGTCCTACCAAGATTTGCCCAAGAACAATGTGGGTAAGGATCCAGGAAGTAACAAAGAACCCAAAAGTAACAACTCAGGCCTCTCTCACTTTGACTAATGTCATTTTTCACGTCTCAATCATAAAAAGACTGAATGGAAATGGTTTTCGTGAGGGAAAATAGAAGGATGACTATCTCAAGGATGACAATGTTCATTTTAAAATTGACCAATGAGCACCTGGTCAATTCAAAAGACTACTGAAGAATGTTCTCTTCATTCTTGATCTTTTTGTCCATATTGAGAAATGTTTTGTATGGCGGAATCTTAACACTTAATGAATCTTAATGAAAAAGCTCGTCCCAAGCACTCATGCACGGTGAAGGGAGTATAGCTTTGGGGCTGATTTGCTGGATCGTCTGCCATCATAGACAGAAAAATGAATTTAGAGTTGTATCATCAAATTCTGATGGAGAATATGGAGAATATCCATTTGTCAATTGAAGCTGAGCAGAAACCAGTTCATGCAGCAAGACAATGGTCCTAAACATACAAGCAGATCTACAACAACATGGAAGAAACTTCACATTTTGGATTGACCAAGTCAAAGTCTGGACATAAACCACATTGAAATGGCAAGACCTGGTGTGAGCTGTTCATGCAAGGAAATCCTCAAGTGTCACAGACTTGAAGCAGTTCTGACAGGAAATATGGACCAAGATTTATAAAAGCTGATGTGATTGATAAACAGTAACAGGAAACGTCTATCTGAAGTCATTGCAACTTAAGGAAGTATCACCAATTACTGAATCTAAGGGTTCACAGAAGGATGTTTACTGTTTGATCACTTTGTTGTAATACAAATAAATGTTATGTTTCTGTCTCCCCTGAACTAGCGTTGATCTTAGTAGAAATTCTACGCTGTTATGCTATGTTTTATGCTATATACTCATGTTGCTGTACTGATTTCTCTTTCTCAGTGCACTATGCATATGTTCACCAAGTATATCCTGGTAATTAATCAGTTTTAAAATGAACAGTATCTTTCACTTCTGAATTACATCCAGAATATGGCACAACGTACAGTACATACCATGAATAACTCTTACTGATCAGATATGACGCATTTGTTAATGGATTCTACATGGATTGTTTAAATGAATAATCCAACGACCATATCTATTGTAAGCAAATATATTGTGAATCTCCAACGGAATAGAACCGGTAAAAGTTCTTACTCTGAGCACAGGTCAGCTTTATGAACTAGACATAGCAGGTTTGAAAGTGTTTAAGAGTTTTATCACCAGTCTAACTAGTAGTGCTGTGGCAGTGCTCAATTGGCTCAGTACCACTGGGGTCAGTATGGAATACCTTAAGGCTTGTACTGACATAAGGTAGGGGCAGCGCCTTGCCTCCAATCAGCATGGACTTTACTGTATTTGACTGTAGAGCTTGTTGCATGTCAAGAGAAATGAAAACTTAATGATGGAGTGCATCTGAGAAGCATGTGTGCTCTTTCATGTTCTTTGTATGCGAGTACTGATTTCATCGCCTCGAGCTGAGATGTGAAGACACAACTGGTGGTTCTGAAATAAATGGGTATACTGTATTGATTGAAACACCGCTAAAGCATTATGGAGGTTTTCATGATCACTCATTAATGGCCTTGCCAGCCAATACCTGAGTTTGTTCAATAAGGCTCTGTAGGGATTACATGACCAGAACTGGGACATGGACACAAAGCTAACCCTGGACAAGGAAAGAAGACAAACACCAGAGGCAGTTTTTTGTGTAACATAATTTATGTACATGTATGGCTTCATACATTGACTGTAAAGATTGTTCTCCATTTTCAGGTTTATACTACAATATCATCAGGCACTTGCTTTCTGAGAAGCATTCAAGAAAGCACAAAGGTGTTTTTCAGATTTTTCAGTCATTGTTAGTGAAGCGGTGACATCTTTTGAAGACATTTTGCTCAATATCAACCAGCCTAGATTAGGACAGCCAAGTACTATTTACATGCCAGTTCCAGCCCAAAAAAAAAATGCGTGTCTCAAAAAGCATCCCATAAACAAAGGGATACTCACACTTTTAATGTTTCTTTTATGTCTTTTTATATAAACCAACACATTGCACAGTTAGTTTTTTTCTTGATTGCAAATCACATCTTAAAATTAAAATCAGTTACTGTACATAAGTTAAGAAATGTAACAGTTTTAAAATAATACGTAACATTTCTTTAATCAGCAAGGAGCACTGATTATAGAACCTAGAGATAACGAAGTGCATTTTTTCTCTATAAAAATTGGTCCAAATATTTACCCTCTGGCCAGATTGTCCAGCATACCACTAAACCATCTCCTTTTGTGTTATTAGCGTGAAACTTTTTTTTCTGCGTTTTAAAGTTTTCTTATAAATTTCCGCTACATATAAGAATAACAGTGTCAGTTTACCAAAAAAAGCAGAGCACTTAAATCATTGTCCTAATACCTAAATATACTTCATTTTTTTTTCTTATATAGCTATCTGAAACAAATACATCTGTGACATAAAATATCTCAACAGCTCTATAATACAATATAAGATCTTTCTCATAAGTACAAACAAAAAAAAAGAATTAAAGTACAAGAATGCATAGGTGAGATCATTAGCACATTTCACAAAGCAATCATTTACAAGTTTTTTTAAACTGTAGAATTATTCCTTTACCATTTACATAAAGGACCTGTTATGTCTATGGAGATCTTCAATTTTTAAATGAACTGATAAGTATGTGCGTTTATGTACAGGTACGTAAGATTCTCAAGTGAATGTTGCAGAGTTCTCCCCTTTTTTGTTACTGTACACCTTGTTGCATTGGAACATTTGGGAATTGATGAAGAAATTGACTTCTTTTTCACCTGTTGATGTAAGGATGAGGATTTGAAATTTGCAATTGATTGCATCAATCCTGAAGTGCTGTGTGATCTGACACTGACGAGGACAGGGGTTTCACAACTCCTATCTTAAATATTCTGCTTTTCATTCTACAATACGTCGCCTCTTAATAAGTTAACACCAGTTCAACATTTACTGTAATTCTAAAGCTGTGCTAATCTGAATAGATCCATACAATCTCCAGGACTATGTCCCTTTACCTTTAAGGCTAAGGACTTCCAGTCTGGAGATTTTTAAACAATTTTGAACAGTTTTAAACAAAGTTTGAACAGGGGAATAGGTGATAAAGTGTTACACTTTCTGTTACACAGTGTACATGGGACACTGAGATCTTTTGACCTAAAAATCACGTGCCAAGTATTACATCCTCAAAGAGGGAAACCATACAACAATGAAGAAAAAGGCAGGCTACAGATAGAGGTGGAATCTAATTCAGTATTGTCTTGGTAATGAAGAGAAAGCAATCATTATGGGAACATCTGCAAAGCATACTGAGAGTATTAAAAACACAGCAAATGAGTATTAAAACCAACAGTCATACTAATCCTCCTCAATGTATAATTTAGCTGCTTCAAGTTGAGAAACAGCTTTTGGACCATTGTCTCCACGTCATGATTCTTAATAACACCTTCTCTCAGCTTCGTCAATGTCAACTGTACCTGCACTTAAAAGTACAGAAATAAAAAAGGGGAAAAACTGGGCTCACCCTCTCCACATTGTGTTTTAACACAACGGAACAATCATTCAGGTATGAATGATGTATCCACCCAAAACCTAGACACGCCACCACATTCTTATTGCTGTTTTTATTAAACATTCTCTGTTTTGCTGCGGTAAAAAAGGATAACATAATAGATCACGTGTTTTGGGTCGATATAATCACTTGAGATCATGATAAAATGGGAATGATAAAACAAAACGTTGATGTACATATTTTTTATTCATTATCGGATACATTTTCTAGCTCTTCATATGAACTACATGTTATATATAAATGTATATTTAGCAATAAACATTATGAGTTCTTTAAAAAAAGAACAAGTAAAAATGCAGTATACAAGCCACTATAAAGATATGTAACACTTCCTGGTACTTAACAGGGCTTGAAATAAGCAAAGTATCTATTTAACGCATGAGTCAAATTTTAAAGTCCATTTACAGCATCTGTTTGTCAGCATTTCGTATTACTCCTGCCTCACTTGATACTGCTAAATGTACAGAAGCTCCCAATACCCATGATGCAGCACTGGAGAAACTGGAAAAGTACAGGTTCAGTGAGGGGGAGAGGGGAGGGTAGTGATGTATTCCCTTCAGCTTCCAGAGATTTGTGTATGAAACAGGTGAAGAAAGTGCAGAGTCACAGAAGTATTTTGACAGAAGAAAATGCACAGGGAGGTAAACTGGAGAAAGTGCTACAGCACAGCAACACTTTGGTGGCAATTTTCCCACCACTGCCTGTAAGAAGTGTAAGCTGACATTTTACAGGGGAAGTATGTTTGCTGTTTTTTATAAAAGGCAAAGAGAAAAAGCTCTAAGTTCCGGGGTACCAACCATGGGATTTGGATTGGAGAATGTCTCATCATAACAGAACCACTGCAACTGAATAATGAGTGAGATGGAGGTCGACCTTATGGCCTCTAAGATTCAGCAGCTCAGAGACAGGTACTGTATTGACCAGGTTCACTGCCTCACAAGGGGACGTAGACAAGCAATGACATCAGGGGACTCTCAGTTGGCCTTAGTTTCTAAGGGTGGCACATGGCCAGCAGAGCTGAGGTGGATTTTGAATTTGGCCGTCCAAGTTTGGCTAAACATAGGCTTTTGTAAAAGCAGGCTTGAGCAATATGTCTCTCCATACTTCAAAAATGGGAGACGATGGGAGACAGAACAACAGAGCCACAAAGCTTGCAGCAGCAGAAGAAAAAAAAGGACACCTTAATAAAAATCTTACTTCTCCATGATCCACCAGCCTAATTCTTTAAACATACTGGTACAACTTCTCTTTTGAAAGTCAACAATACCTAAACCCCAATCCCCCCTCCCCCTCTTTTCAGAATTTCAAAGCTGTTTGACAAGAAAAATTGCTTAGAAACGCAAACGTAAAAACTACACAACCTTTGGTGCAAGTTTAGCATCAATACTAAAAAAGAGACGCAAAGAAAGAAATGGAATTAGTTTTCTGATATCTTCCATTATATGTATTTACAGAAAAAAGAAGCTATTTAACAGCCTCATTGAGAAGCACCCTCAAGTGAACAAACCAATTACAAATGTAAAAACAAATATTGGTTCAGATCCAGTTAACGATGTCTGAAACGTGACTGCTGCCCTGATTTTCACTGTGATTCTGTAAACTTACTGTACATGAAATTCAAATAACAACAAAATAAAATACACTCTAATGCAATACAACTAAATGGTTTCAAGAAAAATGGTGATGGGAAAACCTATCCAAGAGTCGCTATAGACTCAAATATATTTCAGGCCTCACTTCTAAAACAGGCCTACATATTTACATGTGATGCTTTCTCAAAGGCTAATCCATAAAAAGATATTTTTCCCAACAGTCCTGATAATAGCACATTTTGCCTGTATGTATTGTACTGTATAAATAGATTAAGACATTTCCGTGTCACTGTTAATGATACCTTCAATGTTGACTCACGGAGGGGAAAAAACACATTACAAAGAAACAGAATAAAATGGGACCAAGACTGTTGGCTTGCGATTGTAGGCTTCATTAAAAAATATTTTGCTTTTTTTCTGTTTGTATGCAATGCTGTCATAGCTTGAACCCAGAACTAACAGGCACATAAGGAGAGCAAGTATCGCTCATTTCTGACTGTGAAAAACAACATAATGTAAATAAACTGAACTCTAACATTATGTAGTGAGTTTGGCACTTGGTTGCTATATAACTTCCAATGGCAGAGTCCTTATCTGGAGCAGCATATAACCTGCACACACTGGGCAAACATCCTGTACAGGAAAAAGTCCCTCACTGCCAAGTCTAGTGAGAAGAGTGAAAAAAAGCGTCTTTTTAAAATCAATCAAGAAAAAATGAGGGATGATGGACTCTTTGGATTGCTTTTTCCATTTTCCTGATGTAGGTCCAGTCCAGTCTGAGGTGATATTTTGATATAACCTGTACAAAAACAAAAACAATGTCAGTAACTGTGAATAGAAGTAGGTTTTTGCCAAGGAAACTTTAAAGGAAATTTACAGTGAAGGCATCAACATGTGTATCAGGGAAGCTGTCTTACTTAAAAACAGCACACAGAAACTCATTAGCTGGTATTTCTGTTTGCTTTGCAGCACTCAGTCCATCTAGGTCAAAACAGTTTTTCTTATTAAGCTAATGGCCCTGTGTACAATGTAACTGCAGTTGTCATCCACATAAATGCATATATAAAAATATGTCCCTGTTTATACGATGACACTGGAGACACATTTAATGAATTTGAAGTCATGAATAAACTCTAAATATTCCACATCTTTTCTACAGTTAAACTAGTCCACAGCTGTCTGCTATTGTGTCTCATTTCTGAACTTGTACTGATGACACATTTGTGAAAGCTTTGTTGTTTTCAGTTTTCTAGCAATAAAAGTGACCAAATTTCACTACTGGCCCTGCAGGAGAGGCGGTATTACAGGATAATGTGCTGTGCAAGCAATCAACATTTTTTTTTATTTGTGCAAATCCAGAACCATTTTTTTTTTCACAATTCCACATTGTACAGAAGCTTTAAACACTTTCTCAATGGGAGAATGTCCAGACATTAGGGATTTGTATGATTTGAAGTCTAACTTACCCGGCTTTAGCCTGATACCCAGCTGTGGGTGGTAGTCTTAACGCCATGAGGAAAGCCCTGTGTGGGCACCATGGGGTCAAAATTAAAGTCTAATGAGTCCCCGTCCATCAGCGTGTCATGGAGGATGGATTCCATGTCGCACTCGAAGCGCTCAATGGACATGTCATCCAGGTCACTCGGCAGCTTCTCCTGGTGGGCAGAGGGGATCCCCATACGGCCATAGCCATTGCTGCTGTTGACCGTACAGTAGGGGGGCAGGGGATTCATGTGCAGGGACTGACCCAGAGGCAACTGCAGGGGTGTCTTTACAGTGGAGAGGCGGCTTAGGCCCACGCTGTGGCTCATGGTGGTCATGGGGTGGGTTAATGGTCGACCATTCATGGCCGCCGGAGACTGGCTATGCACAGCATGTGGGTGTGTATGTGCATGCGTATGGGCACCACTTGGGCTCATCATCTTTCCATGAGTAGGCTGTCCCCCGCTGTAGGTTGACATCACTGAGTTGGTTGGCATCATAACGTTGGGAGGTCTGCCACTAGATTGGGACACCACAGTGTCCACTGAAGGCATGATGTCAGCATGAGAGTCCGGGTCTGAAGTGAGCAACTCTTTGAGGAGCCCGGTATGGCAGCTGTACTGCCCCATTGAAGGTCCAAAAGCTGGCTTGCTTTCCGGGAGAGTTTGCATAGGCATGGGAGACAGAGCGTTCATCCCAGCCTGTCCGTACAGGCACTTGCGGTAGTCCTGCTGGGCCTGGGAGCCCAAGTTAACGGTGCTGGGGGAGCTGTAAGAGGGATAGCCAGGACTAGGCTGCATCATGGATGAAGGGGAGGATTGGGATGAGCTGCTGGCAGCCACCTGGGGGTTCTTGGGAGAGAGGAGATTGAGGTTGTCCAGCAGGTTTTCCATGACGTTCTCGGAGCTGTGGTGGCTGATGGAGCCGGTCATCTCAGAGAGGCTAGGCAACGTGGCCGTCATCTTGCTCGAAGTGTTGGGATAGACCATGTGCACGTCAGGCTCGCTCAAGTCATCCTGCTCAGGCATGAAGGGGGAAAGGCGCCCGCTGATGGTGCTGGCGTTGGAGCTGGTACGTGGACGGAAGGTCGTCCACGCATCAAAGTCGTCATTGCTGTGGGAGTTGGGACTTCCAGGCCACTTGGAGTACTGGGAGTTGGGGCTGTCTGCTCCTCCATCCTGCCCACTTTGATGAGCCATCTAGAATAAAATATAAGTATGTAAGAAAGGAAAGATGCCACATAGCATCTGTTCGTTATCTTGTGCGTGTGCAGTATAGGCATCTTTTCTGAAACACACTCAACTCAAGTGCTGTAAAGTTCTGACTGAATATGTGTCATAATCCAACTACACCATATCCAACTATAGTGCATAGCTGTCTTCCTTCACAATGCAGCAAGGTGGCCCCTGTTTTCAAATAGATATACCGTATACTGCAAATCTACAAAGCGACTGATTATTTGGGTGCAGTGATCTGAAAAGCATTAAAAAGGACAGACTCTTGGGCACAAGACATCAGATTGTTTCAAAGAAGTGAAGTACCATAAGGATTTTTAACTATGAGCAAGTATACCCCTCTACCAATTTTCTAAATGCTTTATCTAGGGTCCCAGGGAAGCCAGAGCCTATCCTGGCAAGAAACGGACATAAGGTAAGATACAACCTGGACGGTATGCCAGTCCATCACAGGGCATACACTGACAGAAACACAAACACTCACACCGGAGCCAAATTTCCTAGAAGCCAATTAGCCTAGCAGTATGTCTTTGTACTGTGGGAGTAAACTGGAGCACCCAGAAACCCATGCGGACAATAATACAGATAGCACACCAGAAATTGAACCCAAGGCCACATTCCTGTAAAGTTACAATGCTAACCACTTCCCCAGAATGCTTCGCTCTAATAATTACATTCCTGCAATTTTAAATGTGAGCTGCCCAAGTGTCACTTAAAACACCTTCCAGAAAACAACATCCAAATGATCGAGCAAACATTCCATGCAGGTCTGTATGGCGATATACCTTTTTTTTGGCAGCTCGTCCACGGCTCTTAGCAAACTTGCTGTTGTTGTCCATGGACGCGGCTCGGCGACGGGGAGACTTGCCACTCTTGCCCCCTTCTGGGTTCAGCATCCACCAGGAGCTCTTTCCAGTCCCCTCATTCTGCACGCGGACGAAGCGGCTGTGCAGTGAGAGGTTGTGTCGGATGGAGTTCTGTAAACACACAAGAAGAGACACAGTGAACCACTTTCCACAGCTGAAATGCTGCGTGAGTGTCATAAAAGAACAGCCTTTCATGCTATGCACAAGCCTAAACTACCAGACCTTTGTGCTTTTGCGTGGCTCCTGTATGGTACTGTAGACAAAAGAAAATGGGTTTCCTGATAGAGGTTAACATACAATGATGTAACAGTCTTATGTTTTAAATCTCACTGGGCAGCTACGTGCATCTACAGTATATTTGTGAGGAAATGTTCATTCGATATCTTTAATGATTATATGAATAACTGCCAAACTGATTTATGTAAGAATCTGTATAAAACACCATTATTCACTATCAGTAGACTAGTCCAGAGAACACTGGTTTTGTGAGAGACCTGTGGGAGACAAGATGGTCACCACACCAGCCCAGGACTTATACATTTCACAAACTCCATAAAAACAATTACCAAGCTGACTGACTGAGGTGGCTTGCCATCTCTGTGAAAGTCACATACATGGTGATCTGTGGCCTTTTAAAAGAAAGCATGCTAACAGCCAAGACACAAGATCTCCACCTCTAATTGAAGGCCAGAGAACATCTGAGGTGACAGTAGAGATAGTAAAAGAGGTTTTGCCCTTGACAAACCTAACAGAAGACAATGTTTGGAGCATTATGCTAAGTAGTGCTGTTTGTAAGAGCCTACAGTACTTCAATGCAAGCATGCCTTAGGTGCAGACTGAGGCAACCTTACTGCTCATTGATACATTGCCAAAGCCCTTGAATTGACAGTTTTTCTGGTTCTGAAATCTACTCCATAGGTGTCAAAGTGGTGGACAGTGTAAGACCACATAGTGCTAAGACTGCAATGGCAAGACTTCAAGAAAGGTTGTCAAGATCTTGCTGTGACCAAATTTACATTCTGTCCTGTGTTCAACTGAAACATCCGAGACAGTAACTCACTACTGCCACTGACAAAAGGCAACCATAGCCAGCTGCCCGGAGCTGCACATAAAAAGTGGGAGAACATCCCACAGGAGTCTGTCCAGAGGCTGATCAGGCGTACACTTTAACACTGTCAGGTCTTTGTCAATACACAGCAGTATTATACCCTATACAAACTCTGCAGTATTTTCTTTTTAATAATTTCATGTTTTATACTGAAAACTTACAGTGACTCACTGTTGTATACTTTTGTTCACATTTTCTATAATTGCTTGATACCCAAGCTTAAAAGATTTTATTAAATCTATTAGACCTAAGCATTACATTACATAAGTACATCAGTACATATTAGCAATTCAAATTAGCCAACACCCCCTCTGGACCCAATATTATCTCTTTAATAATGAGACAAAACCTTTCTTGAATGTTGAGTTCTGGAAATAGGAAGTTAAAGACAGCATTTAACATATTCATTTACTGTACAAATGAAACAGGAAAAACACAATGGCAATAATGTTTCATATATGTTTTTGTCTACTCTGTGTATATGGAAGAATATACTTGCTTACCCTAATGTACACATTTATTTTACTTATAATAGTGGTTATCTTAAAAACAAAAAACTTTGAGCAAAAGCAGGCCTGAATGAGATTTATCATGTGCTGTATATCGCAAAATACACTTAAATTCTGAGAAAAAAAACAGGGTCTGTACATTAACTCGCAGTACTCTTCATAGCAGCTGGGTACTAATCTTGTATAACCACACCTCATTATAGAGCTAAATGCTACCAGTTGTGTCTAATCCCAGGAGTGCAGAGTAATGGCCTCAGGCGCTTGAAAGACTGCTGAATGGCACTCCGGCACAGAGAGGTGCACACGTGGCAGGGACCCTCTCTGGAAAACACCCAACCTAATGACAGCGCACAGTACCTGTGCATATATACAATATTCTCCATGCTATATAAACTATACTGCTGGCCGCCATTTTACAGTCTCTGTAAACCACTGTGCCTAGGCTTCGAACGTTCAGCCCAAAGAAAAGTAAAAGAAGCTGCTTGCTTGCTTGAAGACCTCAGTTTTCAAACGAGTTTTAAAATTCTTGCCATTACAAATTCCTAAGACCAGCGCTTGAGTATTTAAAGGCCAGTGTAACCTTACACATCTAAGTATTGTTTTGTGTATAATACATAAAATATACTGTCTGTGTGTAGTCACAGACATTGGCATTCCCATTACCACAAATATTACATTCCAATTAATAAACATTAATTATTAAGGTAAAAAATCTTGTTACCCTGTTATTTGGTTATTTGGCAACAGAAACTTCTGGGATTATTGAATGCTTATTCACAGGTGTTAGTTAAACTGTAGTGAATTATATAATAACCAACTGAAATTTGAGTTTAAATAAGAACCTGTCAGCTACTCTCTTATGTTTAAAGCACAGGATGTGTGTACCTCTCTCTAAAAGCATCATCCACGTAAATGCTCATATCACATTAACCTTAAAGCACCCAGCATGATGGCATAAAACAACTAAAAGACTCTTAAATGAACTCCCTCACATGAACTGTAAAATGCAGACTCTTCTACTCCTCCCAGTGGCTGGTGTTTCCAAATCAATCACCAGAGAGAGATTGTTCCCAAGTCAGTGCCAGAGAGTTACCAGAGAGAGGGTATTTAAGGTCACTTAGACAGATCCAGAGCTGTCTTTGTGCACAGCCAACAATAAAACCAATTTTCCTTAACAGAAACTTGTTACTGTTTTTCACATACAGCGACAGCAGTGTGGGGTGGGGGGGACAGGGCGACTGTAAATGAAAAGTAACAACTTTTTAGATTAAAAATTTGGAAAAAATCATTTGGCAGGTTGAGGAGCCGCGGAACAATAACAATAAAAGCATAATATATGTATACATCCAAATCCCCTGCTGTTAATGATATTTTGTCTACAGAACTTTTTCCAAACACAGGCTGACGAAACTCCTCTTGGCAGCAGTCTGACAAAAATGGAGGAAGGGATGGGAGGAGGGGTGTGGGGGGGGGGTGAAACAGTGTGGGGGTGTTGATGAACCGGTCGTAGTAGCGTTGTGGTTGTGGGTTTTTTTTTCTTCTTTTGAAGCAAAGCTTCTACTTTTCGACTGTGAGGCGTTTCACTCCGCACAATGCCGGGCTCTTAGTCACATGCGTAAACATCTCATTTCTTTCCACTACAGTGCAGCCGAGTGGTGCCAAGACAACAGGCAGGCAGTCCAGGCTTGTCGAGGGGGAGCTCGCAGAAAAAAAAATGCTTGTTCAGAAAGAGTTTTTGGGGGGGGGGGGGGCTGGTACAGACAAACACTTGTGTGGTAGCAGACGCTGCACGGTTTTCTCCTGCGGCCAGAAAAAGGGCTGAGGAATGCCTTGGCAAGAACATCTCTGCATACACAGGATATTCCAGGAGAGACAATGAACCTCCTGTTTACTCCAGTTCTCACAGGCTCGCACAACCTCGCCGAGTCCTGATCTTGTGAACTCCAAAGGGGGCAATGCCCACGCAGAGATCTGGTTAAACAATTCCCAAACGCGATAACAGTGTTTGATCTTGGAAGCCGTGTTTCAACGATGGCCTTTAATCCCCCCGCTCCACCCCACCATGATCTTGGGAGTGGTGCTCGAGCAGACTAGGCCTCTAATGATGGCCTTTAATCACCCCACTGCGTATTTATTTAGTTTGGGGACAGACAGCTGCTTTGAAAAGTCCTGCTTTGGCTCTGTGAATGACACTGCTAATGTATAATATACCATTGCGAACAGCAATACTGCATTATTCCTTGTATCGACATCTTACTGACAGATTCACTTAAACCTGAGGTTTGAAATCCAAGAAAAGGAGAATAATTACTTAACCTACTTGATATTAAACTAGACTATCAGCTCAAACATAATAATCAGCAGCAGGCTGCAGCCTGTGTAATGAATGAACACCAGGGGCCTGATTAAAAAAAAACTTTATAAGGCACTTCTGCTGATTTTGTAAAACGCACTATTGAACTGGAATTTGAGGGTTCAGCTTATTTCAGACCTTCGGCTTTCAAATAAAGGCGGCTGTTGTAAACACGCCCCTACCTTACTAAAGCCCCCGAAACAAGAATCTGGGCTAACTGTCTAAACAAAAATGCCACAAAATTACTGAAAATGTAGTGAAGAGATGGGGTTGCAGCATAGCCCAAAACCCAATCCCAGAATGCTCTTGAGACAGCTAAGTTGTGTAAATTTGCACTGAAACCACAGACTGACTCATTTCAATCAGTGCACCATAGAATGAGGACCTCCGGAAAACTGAGATGCGCGATACTGATCTTCACCCCCTGTTAGTCTGGGAAATGTAAAACAACAAACAGAAACCAAAAAAATGCCCATTTCATGTTCTCCCTGATTACTTGTGATTGCTATAAAACTGCCATTCAGAAAGACTGAAATCTTTTTTTGGTTGTGCTCTCATCAGATCAGGCTCAAACTCAAAACACTGTTGCCATGTCTGGCTCAAAGGGTGAGGGCCACTAAATGAACCTTTAGACAAGCAGACACATCCTGTTTTTTAAAATAATTTTCTAATACTCATCATAAACTCCAACAAGTGTCATGGCAAAGAGATTGTATCCATTTTCTAACTGCTTTATCAGTACAGGGTTGCAGGAGAACAAGAGCCTATCCTGGCAAGCCATAGAGATTATTTCAAAGTACCATGTACAGTATACATGTTTTTAAGAGTAAGGGGAGAGTGAGATCCTTTCTCACACCATAAAGTCACAGAGTATTTTGCTTTATGGTACACAGGCTTAGCAAGCAATAGTGCTGTAAACCCAGACTCCACTCGTTGGTCTCTTAACCCAAGAAGGTGGCAGCACCACACCAGCTGTGTCCCCGTCACTACTGTCTGGGTAGATGAAGTCTGTGCATTGCATTACATAATTGCTGAAACTCGCAGAAGTGTGAACAAAAACAATTAAACTGACAGGAAAGATTCTCTGCTGGGGTTACTAGAAAGTCCCACAGGCAGCTACGGGGCACCACCCTTTTTTTAA